GTTGACATGTCAACCTGAGACAGAGCGCTTCGGTCCAATCAATCGACGGGAAAATCAAAAATTCAATTCAATAATGTAACCGCTTTAGTTTTTTCAGTTGCTATGTGAACAAGCTACAAGCTAACACTGTTCTGTCAATCAATTTTTTCTGTTTTCTGTCTCATCCCTCCCGCCCTCTTTTCTACATTAAAATCGCATAAATTGATGATGAAAACTTAAACTGAAAATTGTAATGCTGCTTACATTTTGGATTCGTCAATTTTATAGTATCTCTTCTCTACTACCACTCGAACATTAAAGCATATTATTATCATTTATATAACCCTTTTAATTTCAGGTAGTATGCAGTTAGCTGATGAGAACCTGTGAAATAGAATGATGATATCCCATTTTAAACTGCAAATTTCGTCTTCATTTGTTTATCGAGAAACAATACTTCTTCGCTGAACAAAACAAAAACTCTCTGACCTTGTAACCGGAAGGTCCTGGGTTCGAATCCCGGTGGGTGCGTACTGTGAAGAGTCCCAAACTAGGACGAAACAGTTGTCCAGTACCCCCCAGCCGGTTTTTCAATGGTTCTCTAACTAATGTCAGCTCATGATGAAATCCTGAAACCAAACAACCAAATCCCTACCAAATTGGTTTTTATGAATTTTAATGATAATAATTGTGGATGGTGAATAGCAGTAGTGGAATCCACCAGGATGTGCTTTTCGTCCTATTTGGGACTCGTCAGCCAGTGGATGTACCTGCATTCCCCACCCAGTGAGTGATGATGTTCCCACTGAGGTTAGAAACAAGTGCTTATAGTTTCAAACGCCAAAGCGATATTCACTAGAATTAAAATTCAATTGAATAATTAATATGACCCGTTGCACAAGAGGTGACCAGCTCTCGTGGCTCAAGTGGTCTAGTGGATAACAACGCTTTGGCGTTTGAAACTATGGGCACTGGGTTCGAACCTCAGTGGGAACGTAATCACTCACTGGGTGCGGATTGCAAGTATATTCACTGGATGACGAGTCCTAATTAGGACGAAAAGCATATCCTGGTGGATTCCACTGCTAGTCACCATCCACCAGTTTACTTCTAATTACATGTCCAGATATCGTCGAAGCATCTGCACAAGCAGCTGAGATGTCAACCTGAGACCACGCACTTCGGTCTAATCAATTGACGGGAAAATCTAAAATTCAATTAAAATGATAATAATGGTTGTGAAATTGAACCAAATTAAGAGTTCACCGTCTACCTATGTGGTTGTGACTTTAAACCCGTACATTTGTACAAGATAGTTTCTTTGACTGGATAATATATTCAGTAACTAGTCCTCTTTTATATGCACAAAACCTAGGTCCAAGGTATCCTGCGGACTGCTTCCAACCACTCAATATTAGCAAATATTAGTTTCATCAGAAAATACTTCGTATCATCATGATGCTTGGATTTAACCATAAATCGTTATTAACACAGAGCTATTACAAGTGAAAGGAATACTAGACCGTCACCACCTGCATGATAGTTGGTGACTGACTGTTGGTATCAATCGAATCGCGGGGAACTTAACATCATCCTGACCATATTTTCACAGAGTAATAAACTGCTGCATTAACCAAGCTCAAGCGCTGTTATGTAGTTCTCGAAAGTGAACCTCACAGCAAAAGTGAAATCAGTTAGAGAACTATTAGGCGACTGTTTCGTCCTAGGTTGACACTCTTCAGCGGTACACAGGCATCATTAAACTAGAGGTCGAATCCAGGATCTTACGGTTACAATGTAAGCCTGTTGACCATTCTGCTGTTTGGATAGAATAAAAAATTCCCTGTGAAAGTTAAAATTCTATCAATTGGCGACATATATCTATATTGCAGCCTCCAGCCAATACCATTTATAGGAAACTTCCTCCGCAATCAACTTCATATACCACACCAGTGATCATTGCTCGTTAGGAACCCAGGAACTTCATGCCTCATTCAGACGCCTTTGATCATTTTCTTTTAAGTTTTAAGGGTTGGTTTACGGTGATTTGGTTGACTGACTCCAATAATAGGAATAAACTGCCGTCCATCTGCTCCGTATTTTTCCCGAACTGATGTCAGTTTGTATTGTGACTTGAAAACAATCAACGCCCAATAATCCGACATTGGAAGGTAATTCTTCGAGATGGTAAGGATTTCCATTGTTATTTAATTAGGGCACTGTGTACTAGATTACATAACAGGCACAATTCGCCAAAAGGCAAGGATCCACCAGAGAACAATTATTCTTTCTCCATGAGTACCTTCGTCATCAAATCCTACCGACAGACAAAATTTATCAACCGATAAGAAAGAAACCTCACACTCAAAGGGTCAAAGTTCAAGTCAAAGAAACAATCAGTTCCAATACAAATAACCTAGAAGGTGTGAAAACACACAAAAGCAACCAATCACGTCCAAGGTCACTGACCAGGAGAGATTAATAAACTCATGGTGAAATCTAAAAGCTCGCTTCAACAAATTGAAGTACGCGCTGAAGATGTCACCCAGTAGGATGATGAAAGCTTCGCAAATTAACCATCCAGCTCAGAGGACACAACCACAACAAAATCATCCACGTGAGCTACAAATCTCCTCTATCATATCTACAATTTATTACCCATAGTCATATCAGAACTACACTCCATCTATCACAATCTCCTGATTGAATTTCAAATGATTGGCCAGAATGAATTAGTAACAAAAAGGCTGTAGAAATTAACCGACTGAGAACCTATTGCTCATTAAATAGTGAAGAGAAAATTGAGGTGTGTCGGACATACACACACGTTGAGATCTTTGAATTATATTGCGCCCAATGCAGAGCATCGTTAGAGTGGAAGTCTTGTAGGAAATGACGACTGAGGCGTTTCTCCGAGGATGACATTATATGAGTAGATGAGAGTCTATGAGTAATCTTGGAGGTAGTCAGCTAAAGAGGACCTCAGAAAATAGAACCAAATGGAAATGTGCTGATGAAGCCCTATGTTCCATTTGGAACCCAAGGAACCATGAAGTTCAGACTAATCGGCTCTAAACAGGACATTTTCTGAATACATGAATATTATTTAAATCTCTCTCTATTATTTATTGGTGGATGGTGACTAGCAGTGGAATCCACCAGGATGTGCTTTTCGTCCTATTTGGGACTCGTCAGCCAGTGGATGTACCTGCATTAATCAGTGAGTGATGATGTTCCCACCGAGGCTTGAACCTAGTGCCCATAGTTTCAAGCGCCAAAGCGTTATTATCCACTAGACCACTTGGCCACGAGAGCTGGCCACCTCTTGTGCAACGGGTCATATTAATTATTGAATTGAATTATTTGATTTTCCCGTCGATTGATTGACCGAAGTGCTCGGTCTCAGGTTGACATGTCAACTTCTTGTGCAGATGCTTCGACGATATCTGGGCATTTAAATGGTATTTAATTGGTAGACGAAATGCGCTTCCTGGATTCCACTGCTAGTCACCATCAACCAATTAAATACTAATTAAATGCCTAGACATCGTCGAAGCATCTGCACAAGAAGTCGACATGTCAACCTGAGACCGAGCACTTCGGTCCAATCAATCAACGGGAAAATCTTAAATTCATTCAAATCTCTCTCTCTATGTTTGAATGAAATCTACTAGTGGTTCTGACACATGCTTATTTGATTACTTCATGAGAGTCTTGAGATTTAGGAAGGGTAAATCATGTGCTGATCAAATTGCAACTCTACGCATCTTTATCATCATCATCACCGTCATCATCGAACAAAACATAGAATGCCAATCAAACTTCACTCCATCTCAAGTTCATCAACTTCAAAAAGGCCTTCACCAGACGGTGTTGACCGAAAAGTAATTTGGAAACTGCTGCAACACTACGGCGTGCGGTGTCCAAGTCTTTATTAACCTCATTCAACAACTCTCTATGTGACAGTGCCTGGCATTTGTCAGGTGATCGACAACGGATAACTCAACGAGGGGTTTGAAGTGAACACAAGAGAGTAAGACAAACTCGAAGACTAGCAGGCAAAAACCAACGACCTGACTGAAGTGGCTAAGGAGGCGGTGAAGACAAAACTCCAGGAAAATATAGAGAAGATGGAGTTGGGTGATGAAGATACACAACCACCAACAGCAACAACAACAGTAACAACAACTAGCACGCATCACCATCAACGAGCGAGATTTGACAGAAGTTATTTCCCCCGTCTTCACTTATCTGGTTAGGAATTACGATTTCAACTACAAATGGATACCACGGATAAAGATGTTAAAACAGTCCAGTCAGAATCGCAAAGGCAAGGTACGCATTCACCAACCTGAAACCAGTTTAGAAATCTTCTGTTTCATTCACTCTCTCACTCACTCAGCCAGCACAAAAACAACAAGATTCGGATTGTGTTCAATTCAAATGTGAAGTCAGTCAGTCAGTCAGTGAGTCACTGTTTCTATACGGGTCAGAAACTTGCGCTGCACGTGGGTCACGAAAATCATTTCCAGCAACTTAGAGAATTTTATCAACAGTTGCCTTCACTGGTTCGATATTGAAGATCAAATGGCATGCCGGCCGGTTGGTCAGTGGAAAGAATTAGCGGAAAGGAACTCTGGCAGACGACAAACCAACAAGCAGGAGTTGATTGTAGGAGAGAATGGAAATTAACTGGTCGGGCATACATTGAGGAGACCGTTGAATGACATCGCACGCTATGCAGGCTATCGCTTACGCGGAATCCCAAGTGGGAAGCGACGCATGAGTCGTCAGTGCCAGGGTGCCATGGAGGAAATGATGAAGAATACAGGCAATCGCGGGCCCAGCTGAAGAGGGGCCAGGATACAGACGAAAGTGGAGATGTGTTGTTGAAGCCCTATGTTCCACTTGGAGTAATAATAATAATGATACGTGACTGTCATGTTGGTCAGAGAAAACTGATGTTATATTTAGGGAGAAATTTTTATTACAAAATAAGAAAAATGATTTCAGCATAGGTGAGAACAGACCTTCATCATGTAGACAAGTATTCACACCTTCTAATCAATCAATAAATAAATTAACCAAAACAGGCATGTATATATAGTGACATTCAATCCACGCGGAAACAGTAAAATAATGATGGATAAAATACGAATAAAATAAAAACTGAATTTAACAGAAGACATAAAATGAAAGCCAACTGAACACCTTCCAGAAGGATGCGTTTCTCGACAATTATTTATCCGCAAATTTATTCATCATCCGGTAGGGTTTTGTCTTTCCAGCTGTCAGAGGATAATATTTTCTCATTGGACTTACTGAAAAATATTTCACCGGTTTATACAATTTTCTATGTCTCTCTGTCGCTTTCGCTGTCGCCGCTGTTGTTGTTGTTGCCGTTGTTGTCCTTCTCTTTCGAAAATTCCCTTTCTTCAATAATGCTAGTGTTTTCTTACTCGTCTGTCGACAATACTCTAATTTTGTATTCATATTCTGTGGATGATTATTATATACCTTGATTGCCCCACCGTATGCAGATCGAACACAATAAATGAGATCAGTTTGTACGCCTTTCTGTTTATATCCGGCTGGTTGTAGTAAACAACTGTCAGTTTGAATGATTTTATTTTGATGAGTAATCACTTCATGTGTGGGGTTGACTGTCTCATCATCACAATCCCCGTGCAATTGATCGGGTCGCTTACTTTGTTGACGATGATCTTGTTTCATACTAATCTTGCTGATCAATGATTTCGCATCATCATCATCATCATTATCTGTTGTGATCTGTTGAAATGAACGACAAGTAGACGATTGTTGATTTGTATCATATATCCCAGATTGTATTCCTGATGACCGGTCTGCAAAATGATTGTATGAACAATAAGGATATAAAGAATCTGTTGTCATGAAGGCTTGATTTTCCTTCGGCGTACAACAAGCACATCGTCTTGGTGTATGTGGATGCATTGGAAATATTCTAATTGGATTCAACGAATGTTTATCCAACTGATAGATACTATAGGTATGATGTAAACCATTTTTTCGAATTAATATTAATTCTGAGTGGGATGGTTCAATATAGGATAAATGTCTACCAACCGTAGATTGAGAATTCTTCTTGATTCTACTAATAAATGAAGCCTTTGAAGACAAATACTTTTGAGGCTTTCTTCCACAGAAGTATTTTGTCGAATTCTCATTTGATAATAGGTTAGAAATTTCGAAATTTTTTGATAGTCTTTGTAATCCTTGATCAAAAATACTTTCTTCAATACACCTATCATCATACAGTGCACTTGTACTATACGATCGAGATATTTGTGCTGGATTCAATGCTATAGCTGAGATTTTCGATCCTAAAATAATTGATTGAAGTGGTTTATTTTTGGTGATACGTGAAATAAATCTCCCTTGGAATAAATGATCTTTTGATGATAAGGGGATTTCGTCTTTTGTCTTTTGAATGGTTGATAATCACATAAATGTGAGTCCTGATCATTGTTCTTCTTCTTCTTTAGAGTAGGCGGTAGTTTTTTGGACACGGATTTGGTTGAATTCACTGTTCTACTCTTAAGATTCTCTTTGTGGCTATCTTTTATTTTCCAATTTGGGGAGGATTCCTTACTGCTACTACTACTACTAATACCGTCATTTCTGTTAGAGCTTCTTTCTTCTCCCCTGGCATTGTCTTCATTCACATCATCATCACCACCATCATCATCGTCGCCATCCTCATCGATATCCTCGTCAGTATTCATCAGCCAAGTTGTAGTTCGTGTAAAAAGTGGCTTTTTTGTTGGATACTTGTAATAAGGAGGCTTTTCATTCAACATAATAAAAGATGAGCTAATAGCGCTGATTTACATAGCGTTTCATGAAAAAAGGTATCTTTGGATGAATATTTATAAACTGTTATAATGGAGTGATAATACCTCTTTATTATTACTTATTATTATTCCACATAATTAAGTAAGTAATAGTTTAGCTGAATATATATATTAGAATTTATCGATCTGCACAGAATTTAAAATTATCAGGCTACATAGTAGATAAACTATAATGACCTATCTATCAATGCTTGATAATCAGTGTCACCGAAAGCCTTTAAGACTTTAGACGTCAACATCTGAATTCCCTTTGTCTTAGACGGCTAACCAGAGAGTGGGCAGAGGGAGGCGTAAGCAATTCTACCAACGAACGATATAACAACTTATTGTTAGGATATATTCAAAATATACTGGTCCAAAGGGGTTATCCTAATAGATTTGTAAGGAGACAGGCACATGAACACAAAGTGCAATAAAGAGAAACTGACAACAACAGTTGAAAAGAAACAACTGTTTATGAAATTGCAATTTAATGGGGACGTTGGCTAGCGAAGTCTTACATCTGAGATTATCGAGAGCGAAAAAAAACGGACTTATACCGCCGAGTGAAACAGTATTATTATTTACTGGATGACACAGTTTCCAACAAAATTTATTGCTTTTCATAATCATGCCATCAATTATAATCACACGACTTTGAAACTTGAGTTTTATAGTTTTCTTTGTCTTCTCCTGTTTGTCATCGTTGGGGTAGTAGAATTTTTCAGATATCTGAATGGACAGGTGTTGAATCATTCCTATTACACGTGTCGGTTTACAGTTGATTCTATAACAAAAAGCTTCTGTTATCAATCTCTCCCTCCATTCACCCTGTGACATTAGATTTCAAAATTGTCATCCTATCCCATCCCATCCTATTGTATGGTTGTGTGTTTGCATGTAGTGAGTGGTTTAGCTGAACTATTCTCTGGATTTCTTATCTTATTTGGGTCAACCAATTTAGATTTTGCAGCTAGGTTTTTATGTTCGACTAGTCTGACTGATTGAACTTGTTCTACTAGTTTGACCTATGTATTTGACCTTACTGACAATCATTGCAGGCAGGCTCCACAGGATCCTTTAACTGAGTTTGTGAGGAGTTTGAATACCAGCCACTTTTATTCCTGCCTTGCTAGGAATTCTGCGTAAGGTAGTTTCCGAGGTTCCTTCCTTGTATGGAATTACTACTGATGATTTATATTCTTTATTGTTGGTGTTGTCATTATCCTGCGCACGTTTGACATGTTTGTCGTCATTAATACTATTATTATTATTATCAATATCGCTACTGTCATTATTTATTTTATTTTTACATTTTCCTACATACTTCCTGATTAATTTATCATGGTAATTGTTAAGTTTCAAAGCTTCTCTTATATGACTCTTTTCTTGCCTTAGATTTACCTTGGTACTACTTAGTTTATGTGCTCTCTCATTTAAACATTTCACCAATCCTGGGATGGGATGACTGTTTTAAAATCGAATGTAATAGCAGGGTGTAGGGAGGGAGAGATTGATAACAGAAGCTTTGTTTATCGAATTAACTGGCAGGGAATACATGTAATAGGAATGATTCATCACCTGTTCATTCAGATATCTGAAAAATTCTACTACCCCAACGATGACAACGATGGCTTAATAGTCTACGAGCTCACTGGCCTTGTAACCGAGAAGTCCTGAATTCGAACCCTGTCGATGGGAGCATACTTCTGAACAGTTCAAACTAGGTTGACGAAATAGATGTTCAGTACTACAGTACTATTTTTCCAATGGTTCGCTAACCGATATCAGCTCATAATGAAATCCTGTAACCAAAAGTATACTTTTTACTTTTGTATTTATTGCTTCCTTTAACTGATTATATTGCACAGATATCAGTATTAATCGACGTCTGCTGATGAAAGTGCAGCAAATGTGATGCCTCCCAATATATATATATATATATATATATATATATATGCAAGAAACTACTCAGTCAGCCAGCACGTGAAAGACAAGCTGTCGCATTGGGCAACCACTTCAACATGCATATACCAGTTCACTTGATCGTGTTGAGCCGAGTACATGATCCGATCAAACCTCTCTTGCATAGGGAGTTAAATCAAAGCATTTGCCTGAGAGTCGCTGAAGAGGCAATGGTCATCCGAAACTTCAAGCCCATACTATGTATTCAGAAAAACATACGTCCGGTTGTTGTCCATGTCACGGCCATCATAAGAAGTCAGTCCTACCAACCTACCATGGTTACTCTGTTACCTTTCTTGTCCCATCATTCTGCTTATTTTTGTTATTTTTACGTTGATTTTTAAAATTCCTCCCTGCAGTCCTATCTGCTCAGCTCACTTAGCAAGTTTCCAGTCCAGTTGAACTCTAAGCTTCCTGAGTTGAAATCCTGACGAAGAAGGTAACACTGTTTATTAGATTTTTCTGTTTTCTGTATTCTCCCACACCACTTTTATATATTTTCATAGTATATAAAGTGAGGTTGACTTGAACTAAATATTGTAATGAATATAGTCCGGATGCATTCATCTTGAAATCTCTTCTCTATTAAAGGTCAATCTGAACGAAGAATATTCTTTTCAATACTTTCTCCTATTCACGTTCTTACAATTATAAAATATAATATTTGTTGTCGTTACAATAATAATGGCGAGTTATGTTATTCGGCGGATACATTTTTCACGTAGAATAACAGATAAGTTATCACAGGGTGTCAAAATAAATAGTAGTATTTGTGTGACAAACGTGCTAGTTGGCTGAAATCGATTACAAAATATTTCGGTGAAATGGTAGACAATGGTGATGGTGATTATTCATAATAGATTTGTAGAGTGTGAGGTAGGAAAACAATTGACAAGTTAGTTCAAGGTTATGAAAGGTGCCAGACGTCAGGTGAGTGGCTAGTACAAAGTGGTCTGTGTTCAACAGGAGATGGTAAGACTGCAATAAGAGGTGGTTCATAATGAAATAACGAATATGTGAAATGAAACAGGTGGAGGCATATATTGAGAAAACAGATAATATCACTAATAATAAGTCCAGAGAGTATAAATGAAAAATTAAATTCGATAGTATTGAGGGAATGTTTGCATGAAGGGTGTAAATTATGACGAGTGATAATAATGATTGTAATAATAATATTTGTAATAATAAGCGAAGGAATAAAACCAAGAGGGTTAAGGAGAAGCAGCGCTCTTGGTGAGAAAAAGAGTCATCAATCCAAGTTTGGCCACGGTAGGAACAGCCTCTGGACGTGTTCTTTTGGATACAAAGTTCCGGTTTAGTCGATCTTATTGCAACAGCTTCAGCTATGTGTAGAAGATGTGTGAGCCAACTGTACGTGATAACGACTTCGGAATTCGGTGTACAACCGTGAAAGCTGTGTTGACATCGATGCGATGTCCAGTATCGACCAAGTGTGACAGGATCAAGCTTTTCATGCACTTAATTCACCGAACCCCCCTGCTGAACCAACCTGGTAAATGTTCTCTACTACCTTTCAAACATTGAAGTATGAAATATCATTGTTTTTAACCGTAATAATTTCAGGTGGTGGTGTGCAGCTGATGAGAACCTATGAGATAGATAGAATGATATCATCTTATCCTGCAAATCTGGTCTTTCTTTCTCTATCGAAATACTATTTTTTCATCCAACTCTCTTGTTCATTTTGTCATTACTACACCTCTAATCCCTTATTGCACAAACAGTCACATTTCCAAGTAATTATGATCCTACTTTGTTGTTAAATCCGATCTTCCTGTGTATGACAATTTGTATTTTTACTAATTTGACACTTGACTGGAGGAAATAGTTCCGAAACTTCCTCACCCATTCACTATACATACATGAATATACAGCCTAGTCGATGACTGCGTCAAAAATATTCACATGTTTTAGAGGGCTTAACTGGAATAGAATAATGTGACTAGAGAACAGCTAGGACTCTAGAGAAAGTCAAGTTGACTACTACTTACTTCACACGCCTACGCACAAATAAACCCACTGATGCCATTTTACAACACAGAGCTAACCACTGTCTACACCTCTACTACTAAACAAACCTATTGTACTTGGCATTAGTGGAGTGGACAACATAGAACAAGTAGCCAAGATACTTTTTAAAATTAGAAGTAGAATTTTAAATGAACTAGAATCCGGATAAATTGACTCAGTCTAATGTTGGTTTCTATATATATATATATATGTGTGTGTGTGTGTGTGTCTAGGCTTAACGATATGGCTTGTCCTGTCAGTAACATGGAGACTACTGCTGTGTATTCTAAAGGAGCACGTGATTCGGTGTTTATGCCAATATGTATAGCAGTAGAATAAGCATTTTTGATCGACCAATCAGAGAGCTAGAAAGAAATCATGCTATTGACATGCACAAATCAAGCTTGTATTACACTGAAATAAGTAGTCAGCATTAGGTTGGGTAAATGAGTAAATTATACTAACTTAGTTGTTTTGATTTGGAGGAATGGAGGATTGATCTCTACACTGCTGAAGTATACTGCCATACATTGTAGGTGTAGAGTGAGTGCATTAAATGGCATTTGAGAGTATAAGCCGTGTTAGAGAAATGAAAATGAGGATAATAGGCTATGGCAAGGTGTTTTTTATTTATTTATTTATTTTTGACTACAGCTTGATTCCACACTGTATTTTTGGGACAAGTGTGAAATTTTCAGCGTGGATATCGGTAGCCCGAAATTCGCAGGCCGACCATAGATATCAGGTATACATCGGCGTAGGCTCGAACCCCGGACCATGTGCATGGTCTACGAGAGTCCTAACCACTGTGTCACCGACGCGTAGTATAGTCGATTGTATTTGAGATATTCCAGCTGTGTTAATAGAAATTTGATTGTTAGTATTATTTTCCCATGGGTTCCGAGTGGAGTATAGAGCTTGTGTAGCACATCTTCATTTCATCCTGTTTTTTGCAGTACTCTTCAGTT